TGGGATCCGAACCGGGGCCCTGCTGCACAGAGCTGGTGTCCCAAGTCAGCTCTTAACCAATGCGCCACTCGGCCGGCCCTATACTTGTTCCCTTTAAAGGTATAAAGCTGTGATATTCCTCAGTCCTTCTCTCCTCCCCACCATGTTAGGCTAGGCTTAGAGTATGCTCTTGTGGTTTTAATTTTGAAAAGTTAAAGTGACTTGTTCTGTTACAAAATACCTCTCACATTCTTTCTGTGGCCCTACTTCTATGGTACTGACTACTTGGGAATACAGAGTGAACATAGTATATACTTTATATCAAATACAATCATTTCCTCAAGTACTGTTGACAAGGGATTGTACTAACGACAAACTAAATTATTACTTCTCTGATTTGTCTGTAACATCAAATAGCCATGTGCTTGAAAATATAAAGCTCTAGCTGTGTGTGATATTATCTTGAGTCACCATAAATAGAAGGAAATTAAGGACTTTGTTTCATGTGACTTATGTATCATAAGGTTTTCTTGTCTAAGACACAAGGATATTTTCCTTCCTTGGAAAGTCCTCTGAGAGCAAAATCTTAACAATTTTATCTTCTTTCCTTTAGCGTCAAAAGCAGTATCTGAGATATAGACGACTTTTCATGGATATTGAAAGAGAACAAGTAAAAGAACAACAAAGGCAAAAAGAACACAGGAAGAAAATTGAAAAGTGAGTTCTTTGATCTGTACTGTGATAGCAGTTAGGGTGATTTTGGAAGCTAAGTTTTAAAATAAATAGGCAGTGGTTTTGCCTTCTGATCCATAGTAGAGACATATTTTTGATCTGGGTAGAAGTATTAAAAGACAGTTAAGAGCTATATTTTTTTAATAGACTTTATTTATTTTGGAACAGTTATAGGCTCATAGCAAAGTTAAACATACAGTACAGAGAGTTCCCATTTACTCCCTGCCTCTACAGTGGACTGCCCCTCCCACTATTAACATCCTGTATCAAAGTGGTACATTTGTGACAACTGATAAACCTACGTGGACACATCATAATCTATATTTTACATTCGGATTCATTCTTAAAGCAGATTGTTGCAGGTTTTGACAAATGTATAATAATATGTATCCATCATTACAGTATCATACAGAATAGTTTCAGTACCCTAAAAATCCGGTGATACGCCTATTCATCTCTGCCTCCCCAAACCTTTGGCAACCACTGACCTTTTTACTGTATCCATTGTTTGCCATTTCCAGAATGTCATAGAGTTGGAATCATACAGTTTGTAGCCTTTTCAGTTGGCTTCTTTCACTTAGTAATATGCATTTAAGTTCCCTCCAATGCCTTTTCATGGCTTGATAGCTCATTTCTTCTTAGTGCTGAATAATAATATTCTATTGTCTGAATGTACCACCGTTTTATTTTTTTAAAGATTTTTNTGGGGAAGGGGAACAGACAAGTTGCTGTCCTTTTGTTCTTCAGTCTAGGTGTGGAGGACGTTGCTTCACTGGCCCATGTTGATACTATCATTGCACTCTTCCCGGGTTAGGCAGTCGCTCACAGGCCATTGGATGGCCGCTCACTGCGGCTCACAGCAGCTCATGAAAGCTCACACCTGCTGCCAGCCAGCCCCACTGCAGCCTATGCCGTCGCCGGCGACTCAAGGCAGCCCAGCTCCAGGTTCAGCTGTTCTTCACCATCTTAGCTGTAGAGGGCGCAACATCACTGGCCCTAATGTGGGATCTGAACCGGAGCCCTGCTGCTCAGAGCTGGTGTCCCAAGCCAACTCCTAACCAACACTCCACTTGGCCGGCCCAAGATTTTTATGTCTTTTACATTTAGGTCTGTGTTCCATTTTGAGTTAATTTTTGTATAAGAGTCCATTTTTTCCTGTTATTTAGGTAGGGGTCCAATTTCATTGTTTTTCATGTGGATATCCAGTTATCTTACCACCATTTGTTGAAAAGACTTTTCTTGCCCATTGAATTTTGTTGGTACTCTTGTCAAAAATCATTTGATTGTAAATATAAGGGTTTGTTTCTGAACTATCAATTCTATTTTGTTGAGCTATATGTCTATCCTTACACTGGTACCACACTGTCTTGATTACTCTAGCTTTGTAGTAAGTTTTGAAATTGGGAGAAGTGAATCCTCCAACTTTGTTCTTCTGTTTCAAGATCATCTCAGCTATTCTGGGTTTCTTGCATTTTCATACGAATTTAAGAACCACTCTGTCAACTTCTACAAAGATGTCAACTGAAATTTTAATAGAGATTGCATTAAATCTGTTGATCAGTTCGGGGAGTACTGCTATCTTAACTATATTAAGTCTTTTGATCCATGAACATGAGATGTCTTTCTATTCATTTAGATCTGCTTTAATTTCTTTCAATGTTTTGTAAGTTTCTGAGTTTAAAATTCATACTTTCTTTGTTAAAAATTGTTCCTAAGTGTTTTTGATAATGTTATAAATGGATTTCCCCCTTAATTTGCCCTTCAGATTGTTCATTGCAAGTCTATAGAAATACAATTGATTTTTGTATGCTGATCTTATATCCTGCAACTTTCCTGAAAGATAAATAACTTTTATGTTAAAAAGATAAAAGTAATTTTAAGCTTTCATTTATAAAAGTTAGAGATCATAATTTGATCAATTATGGTGTCCAAGTTATGGACATACCAAGTTATGTCCTAAGGCTTTCCTGGTTTTGTGGGAGGAATTAGCTCCAGTTTCCTCCCTGCCATGTCAGTTGATTGTTATAATGTTTCCAGGTTCTTATTCTCAGAACTCTCACCCATCAACAGAGTTGTGTAAAATGAAAATGCTTATAGATTTGAGATATTAAGGAAACTGGCTGTTTATCTTGGATTCAATCCCAAGCACATTCATGATATAATGATTTCAAGTAAGCACTTTCAAAGAACTTTCGTTCTGAACATTTTGATTTGTTATCAGTTCATCCACGTTTTGATCTGAATTCCTTTCTTTGGTTTGTTTGTTTGTTTATTTATTTATTTATTTGGTTAATTCCTTCTGAAACTGCTTCCTTCTTTTTAAATTTTATTCATATATATATTTTTTAAAATTTTATTCATATATATATATTTAAATTTTATTCATATATATATATATATATATATATATTTTTTTTTTTTTTTAGCCATCCTGCCACCTGTTGGCAGCTCAGCGGCTGCTCAGCTCGGGCCAAGACTCTAACCGCTGTTGCTCAGAGCTCGCACTCTTGAGCGAGCTCTTAACCAACTGAGCCACTTGGCTGGCCCTCATATATATTTTTTAATCCAGTTGAGCTCAAGGTTGCAGGAGGAAAGAACCAATAGATGAAAATATCAAAGCATGCACAAGGCTAGCCTTTGGCAATTTTATCACTTTGTGTGACTGGACTTTCTAACAGGTTTATGATGAGTATCAATCAGGAGTGAACACTGAATTCCAAACTCCACTGGCACTTCAGTCTGGAGTAGATCAAGAAGAAGACAGGAAAGAGGTATGTAATGATAATTGCTTTTGGACATGAGTGTTTCTACCATAATAGTATATGTGAAATTGGAAGCAATTTGTTGTGTCCTAACACCTGAAGAGCTAATACTACACATTCCATAGATAAAGGCAAATTACTTGTCATTATAATATGTCAAACTTCTCTTCTAAGCTCCTAGGATTTGGGGTATCATGATGTAAAGCCAGAGATATGATCCTAGTGAATTTCTCTAGTTAGTGATATTTGCCACAATAACTTGTTTAAAGGGAGAGTTCTAATTTATGGCTTCCTTTCTTTCTTTTTAATCTTAAGTTAGTTTAAATCAACAGCTTTTAATACTAGCCATGCACCAGAATTAGATATGGAACTTTTTTCAAAATACGAATGCCTGGACCCAAACCAGATATACTGAATCGGTATCTGAAAAGGTAGGTTTGGGGCATTTGTGTTTTTCAAAAAATACCACTGATGATTAAGCTGTATCCTCAATATTGAGAACTGCTATTAGGCCTTTAATAGTTTTCACTAAAAGGACACCAGCTACTGAAAGGGCACAAACATAATAGTGCCCTTTCAGTAGCTTGTGTCCTTAAAAGCGAATATATAAATCCAGAGGTCTGAACATATTACACACATGGCAGTAGCACTTGCTTTTATTATACTTGTTCCCTTTATTTTTTTATTGTTATTATTATTTTTAAAGATTTTATTGGGGAATTGGGGGAAGGGGAATAGACAAGTTGCTGTCCTTTTGTTCTTCAGTCTAGTTGTGGAGGACGTTGCTTCACTGGCCCATGTTGGTATTATCATTGCGC